AATTGGGCAAGCTTATGTCCTTGATAGCAGCTGACATCCACCTTATGACAAAGAGTAGAACCTGACTTATGATGAAACAAACACTGTGAACAGAAGACTAAGGGAAGGAAAGCAAATGTTTACTGATATCCCAGAACCCCTACCATGAATTAATTCTGAAACCTGACCTACAGCTACTTTCCAGTTACGTTTACGCCAGTTTGAAGGCAGTTTTATGTTATTTACTTCATAGAGGATCCTAACTGATAAAAGAATGAGCACACACACACACAAGTATGAAGGTCACAACAAGAAATGATGGATGACTGGGGGGTCTTAAATGCTTGGTGATGGCTAATAGTAGGGATGCAAAGTTCAATGTGTGGAGTTGGCTAAAAGTGTCCAAAATAATTACTTCCATAATCCCCCTATGGCAAGACAGAACTGAAGCCTCAAGGAGGAGTCAGCCATGACCACAAATGACTGGCTTTCCAAGTTCTAGTATAAGTGAAGAGGCTAGCCCTGGGATTGCTGATGTAATGACCAGCAAGTGATGACTGAAACATAGCACTTCTGTACCTTAACCCCCTGTTCTTTTCTCAGCTCTTTCAAGTAAAAACTAATTATTACTAATTTTCATTATTGTTACATACCTTTAAGGGAAAATGACTTCAAACATTTACTGATAAGATGAACCTCTACTAGTTTTCCTTTATTTCCTAATATTTGTCTAAAGGTTGAGTGTCTGATCACAGCATACATGATTTTAACTCAGTGAAATTAGCAAAGATATGAGCACCTCTACCCTGGCTGAAAAGATAGACCCATAATCACCCTTGTACAGTTTCTTTTGGAATTAATGAAAACCTACCCCTTCCGTGAAGTGATAATATTCCCCAAATACAGAAGGGAGAAAAAGAAAGCAACAGAAGTTAGAGACCATAATTTTATGGGTCAGAAGAACACAATATATATTTTTTTACCTTATACTTTTCTCACCTTCTGGGATTCTGTTTTAATTTCATTTAGGATTCATAATTCTTGTTACCAAAGAAAAGGAGACAAAAGGATTCCCTCCTACTTCTAACTAAAACATTGTGATTTATTGAGAATTTTTCTATCTGCATTGTCTCTGCTTTTCCTCTTCCACCATCATTTTGTTGAATATCCCTATTCCCCTTTGTTAGGATTTCAAGCTCATTCAACCCTTCAGATGCTGGTACCTTTGTCTTTTCTTCCCCTTCAGTGGCTCTGCAGCCCTGGAGAGCTGCACCTGTGTGGGGAAACCCAAGTGCACCTGCAATCACTCTATCAAATATGATTGTACCCTTGAGAATCTGGTGAGGATTTTTCTGGTAACTTTTTGCAACTGCGAAGTACCAAAGTTGAAAGCAGGCAACATAGCATGATGCTGTCTTCTCTACAGGAGTTATTACATGCAATTATTTGAAAATGAGACTCTAGATTAAAACTGAGATTTCTACTATGTAATTAAACATTAGTTTGTTTGCTTTTCTTTCTATAAACTTCCAGGCTCTATCCGTCCTGTACCACCCATACCTTCTTCATTGTCTCTTCTCTCTTTAAAGCACTTTTTGACACAGAACTCTAAAACTTCTACGAAATAATACAGAATACTATAATGAAATTGACAGGAAGGGGCATTTGTTACTGCTCCTGGGTCCTGTGTCCCACAAACAAATAAGGTTTGGGAAAAAAACAAACAAACCAAAAAACCAAGTGGCATAGATTTTGAAAGAGATCACCAGGTTGCAGAATTTCATCTAGAAATATGAGCAAGCTACAATTATTCTTAGTTAATTACTGTCTTAAAACTTTTGTAAAGCATTTTATGGAATGTACTTTCAGAAATGCTGTGACTTACTGAATTCATATTCTTTTGAAGCATAGTTTAAAGGCCTCCATTTCCTGCCATCAGAGCTTCTTTGACCATTCCTATTCATCCAAATCTGAGATTCTATCACCTTTTACTTATGCCATTCATTTTAGGCATTTAAATTACTATCACCCACCTGTTCAATTGGCTTGACTCATACTCTGAATTAGACTAGGGCTTTCCCAAGCACAATAACCATGTCTTTTGTCAAAATCCCCAACCCTAACACAAGGCACACTGCTGAGCACACAATAGGTGCTCACTGTGTACTTGAAAGGAGATGGGACTAATGTGGCTAACTCACTGCAGCAACACTATCTTCCTTCAACATCACAAATAAATATCCACGCAGGGAGATGTGTTTTCTTAGAGTCAGGACTAGAGCAAAGATCATTCCTGCAAAGCGTCCTAACTTCTATTCTCCCAAATTTATATTTTATCCATGTCCTCATCCCTTCTCTAAAGTGGTGGCACAGCATTTCCTAAAACTTGCCCCAATTCTTTAAAATACCTGGCAAACAGTCCTAGTACTGACCTCAAAACTAATGTTTATTCCTAAGCAGCTACTGAGGACTGCAATGCTCCTAGAATTCTATTTTCAATCTTAACTCAAACTTCACCTTCTCCAGGAAGCCTTTTTTGACTACCTTCAGCTGTTTTAGGAATTATTCCTCTGTTAACCGATATTACATGTCCAGTGACCAAAGCACTTATCAGACTGAAGAGTAATCACTTATTGACTTGGTTGTGTGTCCAAAAGACCTTGAACAGAGATTGGGTTTCCATGATACATGGAGACCCTGACCCTAACACAGTTTGAAGTACATGTATATTTTAATGGTGATAGGCTTACCCCAAAAATTCCACTTAAGGTTATTTAATACTTTTCTTCTATTAGCTACATGTCCAATATATAAGTCGTTCCATTTCAGAGTATTTAGCCTCTGTAGAGCATTAGATAAAGCTCTGATCTGCAATCAGAGAAGATGGTACAGACTGGAAAAAACAGCACCTACTGGATTCCAGCATCCTGAATGTTGCTAATAATTTTTCTTTTGAATCGACTCTTGCACAGGAACAGATTCAGGATTAGTACTCAGCCATTACTGAGCCCTCCAGTTTGGGTACTTAGAGCTCTCTTAACAAAGGTAAGCATCTGGTATTCGAGTTACTAGTGGTCTAGGCAACAGCTTTTTCATTTAAGGACATTTAATTTTTTTAAAGACTTTATTTTGAGACAGCAAGAGGGAGAAAGGAGATGAGAGAGAGAGGGATGGGGAGAGAGAGAGAGAATGAGTGGGGTAAGGGGCAGAGAAGAAGGCTCCTCACTGAGCAGGGACCCAGAATTCTCAGACCATGACCAGAGCTGAAGGCAGATGCTTAAAGACTGAGCCACCCAGGTACCCCCATTTAAAAGCCTTTTAATTTGACTTAGGATAGAAATGTTCCACGAACAGAATATTATAGAATTACATGCCTTGGAATAAGTCATCTTTTACCTTTACTAAGGTATAGTATTGGAATATTTTACTAAAGTATAGCCTTGAAATAAAACAAACAGAGATTCAGATTCTTGGCCAAAATTATTACTTTTGATGTTCCTTACCACAACTGATGTCCAGAAAGATCCTTCTAGGTTGATTACTGAGTTTACAGGGAATGCAATTAAGTATAATAATCTCTTGAACCTTTACCCATTTGTGTGATTTTTCTCTTAGTTTTAAAGAAAGATGGTCTTCCAACTTATGGTCTTCAATTTTTGCATCCTGCAAATTTCCCGCTTACTGCCTCTACTTCCTTGTCTTATCACTAATTCGTCTACATTATTTCACTAAAAGTTCCCTGGCAAAGCTTACTTTTACTCTTTCTTAGTCATTCTCCCACTTTTTTGACCATTTCTTCTCAGTCTCCTTTGCTGGCTTCTCTTCCCGTACCCACTAAAAAAAAGTTGGTGTATCACATGACTCCATCCAGATACTTAGCTAGAGCTCAGACCCGAAGACATCTCAAATGCAACATGTTTGAAATCTGATCTTTCTCATGAATTCCCACTCCCAGTTTACTAATCATCTAGGTTCCTAAGCTAGAAACTTGCCACACATATGACTGTTAAGCATCATCATAACCCCCGCTCTTTATTAAGAGCCTGCTATTGTGCTGGCATTATATCAAAAGTTTACACGACTTTCCTTATTTAATCCTCCCAAGAAGCCACATAGATAAAACACAGTTATTGCCCTGCAGGAGCTTACAGACTTGTGAGGAAGAGACAAAGAGAATACAAGGCAGCAAATTTTATATGAATAGAGTGATGGGGAATTTAGAGGACAGAGCAAGCAAATCTGCCACGGGGTAGTTCTGTATTTCTCACTCTCCACATACAGAAAGACAAACAGACACACAGACTCTTCTTTCTTTTATAGCCTTTGCGTAAAATTTTTATTTTAGGGATGCCTGGTTGGCTCAGTCATTAAGCATCTGCCTTCGACTCAGGTAATGATCCCAGGGTCCTGGGATGGACCCCCGTATCAGGCTCCCTCCTCCCCAGGAAGTCTGCTTCTCTCTCTCCCACTCCCCTGCTGTGTTCCCTCTCTCAGTATCAAATAAATAAATAAAATCTTTTTTAAAAATAAAATTTTTAATTTTACTTTCAATATTTTATTATTATTCTTATTAGCTGTTGCTAAATAGCTAGCAGAATTGATCAAGAGTTATCATACTTCCATTTTATTTCCATTAGCATTTGTGGAAGATCTTCCAAGTGTATTCCAGGAAATGTTACTAAAATTAGCTACTTCTAATTTCTAAATTCCTTAAGTTCAGGGTCTATATGTCAACTGGATACTTACTCTATGCAATCTGTATTAAAAAGCTAAAATATAAATGATATAGCTAAAGATTGCTTTGGTCTTTTCTTTTTAATTAACATATAATGTATTATTTGTTTCAGGAGTACAGATCTGTGATTCATCAGAATTCACAGCACTCACCATAGCACACACCCTCTTTGATGTCCACCGCCCAGCCACCCCATCCTTCCCATTCCCCTCCCCTCCAGCAACCCTCAGTTTGTTTCCTGAGATCAAGAATCTCTTATGGTTTGTTTCCCTCTCTGGTTTCGTCTAAAAATGTGGAATGCTTCATGAATTTGTGTGCCATCCTTGTGCAGGGGCCATGCTAATCTTCTCTGTATCATTCCAACTTTAGAATACGTGCTGCTGAAGTGAGCAGTGCTTTGGCCTTTTTTTAATCTGTAAGGAAAAAAGCACAAATTTATAAGTTAAGTCTTTATAAAGTGCCTGATACTCAGTAGATGTTTGTTGAATGCACTGAAATCGGTATGAAGATTGAATACCAGCCATAGATTTGCTGGTGAAAGAAACACTAGGAAGACACACTGATCTATTTATCCTAGGTCAGGGGAAGAATGAAGACATTCTCCTTCTAATTCTACTAGAATCGAAGCTCTTTACAAACACACTCCATGTCTTAGTCACCTTTGTGTTTCTTAGCAAATGTGGAGTAATATCTTAGTGCAAAGTATACACGTTGTTAACTGCTGAGTCAATGAGCTAGAAAAGTAATGAAAAATCGAAATTTGTCCTAGAATGACTATTAAGTTCAGCCCAAGACACGAAATAAATAAGGTAATAAAGCAAAGAAGAAAAGTAATCAAGTAAGGGATATATCATAAAGATACTTTGAGTCATGGACAGATTATCTACAGAATATGCCAGTAGACTCAGAAAGCGAAGTCCACAATAAGACTGCTCTTGCTTCCACCTGCTGGTATGGGAAAGTAATTTCTTAGATTATACAGAAAATGTTTAGCAGCTGTAGGAAGCCTTTAAAAAAACAATGAACTTTCAAAGTGCTCCTGCAAAAGTAACACAATACACTTCCCATAAAGAGCCCATTCACAAAAATGTATACCATGACCTCAGCCACAAACACTTTGAGTACAGAGCAGAACCACCCTAAACAGAGAGACATTCCAGTGGCCTTTATTTTGAGTAGCCTATGTCTGATAAAGCCAAAAGCTGTATCTATTTTTTTCATTGTACAGTCCCTTTTTTGTACTCACAGAAGTAGCACTTAAGATAGATAACTAATAGTCACAGAAATTCATACATGTGAAAATACACAAATACATAGAAATGAGTGGAAATAAAACTGGTGAAATGTAAATAAGGTTGGTGGACTGCATCAATTCCTTACTGCAACTGGGGAAAACCATATGAAGTGAATATGGGACCATTCTGTGTTATTTCTCATAACTGCGTGGAAATCTCTCTCAAAATGTAAAGTTTATTTTAAGATTGTATTTCTTTATTTGCAAGAGAAACCCAGAGATAGTAACAGAGATAGCAAGAGAGAGCACAATCAAGGAAGAGAAAGACAAGCAGCCTCCCCACTGAGCAGGGAGCCTGATGCGAGGCTTGATCCCAGGACCCTGGAATCATGACCTTAGCGGAAGGCAGATGCTTAATCTACTGGACCAGCCAGGTACCCCTCAAAATTTAAAGTTTTAAAAAAAGGTGGCTGAGAGTTGTACATACCACCTGTGGCTCCTTTAAGGGGAGGGAGAGTCAAAGTATGACTGGTTCTCCCAAAGTATAAAATCCATGACTTCGTACTGACATACATGAATGAAAAAGAAAGAAAGAAGGAAGGAAGGAAGGAGGGAAGGAACCAAGGAAGGAAAAAAAAACCAAGATCCTATACAGGTAAATTCCAAATATTTAATGTAGGTACTCCAACGCTCAAGAAGGTGAAGATTAACTTCTCTCCTGCCTTCAGTATGGGCTGCACTTAATTGACTTGCTCCCAAAGAGGAAGGGCGTGGAGAAGTGGGGAAAAGTAACTTTATAGTAGAAAAACTTGGCAAACACTACCTCAGCCAACTGACCAAGACTAACATCATCAGTGATGCCACATAGACATCATGTACCCCTAAACATGACATGATAAAAAGGGCAAAACACCTCTACTATCTTCTTCTCCCAAACCTATAACCTTAGTATAACTGTGAGATAAACACAAATTGAGTGATATTCCATAGAATCCCTATTGGTACTACTCAGAACTGTCAATGCCATGAAAAACAAAGACTGAATGATTCTCACAGCCCAGAGGAGCCTAAGGGAACATGCTGATTAAATATAATGTGATCCCCTGAAACAGACATTAGGGAAAAGGACATTAGGGAAAAATAAGCGAGATCTGAATAAAGTACAGAATTTAATTAATAGTAATATACATATACTGGTTCCATAGTTGTACTAAAGAACCAGTGCTGGTTCCATAGTAATGTAAGATGTTCACATTTGGGGACACTGGGTAAGGAAGGGATTTATGGGAGCTCTCTGTACTATCTTGGCAACTTCCCTATAAACCTGGAACAGTTTAAAAGACAGAAGTTCATTTTTAAATATCAACAAAAATCTGATGACTAAAATGACCGGTACAGCTATAGAGGTCCAGTCTTGGTCTGACATAATGAAAACAGGCTATTTTGGAGCCAGTGCCACATACAACTTCAGTTGTGTACAACTTCCTATTATCAGTAAGGCTTTTAAAAAGTAGAACGAATTATATTACACAAAGTCTCCCCTAGGAATGAATGATGATCCAGTTTGGTGAACTCTTTCTTAAAATATCAGTAATCTGGGGTGCTTGGGTACTTGGTCATGAGACCGAGCCTGGAGTTGGGCTCCACGCTGGGCTTGGAGCTTGCTTAAGATTCTCTTTCTCTTCCTCTGCCCCTTCCTATCCCCTTGTGCTATCCACTGCCCCTCGTGCTGTCTCTCTCTAAACTAAATAATCTTTTTAAAAAAAAGTTAGTTATCCACTTAGGAAAAAAAAGGAAATTTTCTTTAATTTTAGAATGTCATGGAAATAAGTTCTTTTTCCCAAATTTCACTGTAAATACATGAGAAGGGACTCTTCAAAGTCATCTTTTCTAAGAGATAGGAATAAAAATGAAAAATGTTAGAAAGAAATTGCTTAAGGTCATAGGAAGAACTATGTGACACTAGATATACCTGTATTATTTCTACTCTTGGCAAAGAGAACTTACAGAGAAGCCTGATTACAAAGTTATAAGGAAGGAAACAAAAATCTCAGGTTCTGAAAAATAAGCAGACATTAGTCTAATTGTTTTTCTCCTAATGTTGTATATAGGACAAGTAGTTTAATATTTACAGGTTTTAAAGAAATAACTATAAATGAGCATGGAAAGATTGTTCTTAAATCCTTCACCTGGCTTAAGTAAAGCCACCTGAGAATCAGAGCATCTGAAATCAATTGCTGCTTCACAAGTGGAATTCAGACTCCCTTAATAATTCATTAATGAATGGCCTACCCACACTCATGGAAAACCACAATTCAAAAAAGACATTCCACTTTTATTTTTCTCTAGGAGGATGAATAATTTGCTTCTGGCACATTTAATTGGTGTTTGGGGTATACTTTTCAGAATTGAAATCCTTACTAAATGACTCAGGAGAGAGACTTCTCTCCTTGGTACATTAGTTAATACTTAGGCTCTTTTTTTTTTGGGTCATCTCACATGGATATTTTGTTGAATGAATGATCATGGCTAAACCCTCATGCTAGGCTAGGCTAACAACTAGTCTGCTTTTCTTTCTAAAGACTGGTTCAGCCACAAATAGGTGTTTATTGTTATTATATGTGATGACGATACATAGCTTATGTATCTATTATTATCTATCAATTATTGTAGATTATATATCTTTGAAAAAGAGTTTATCTTTTAGATCTATATGCTGAAATACTTATGATTAAAGCAATATCATGCTGGAATATGTTTCAAAATAATTGGAGGAGGAAGTATATGAAAACAGATTGGCCATGAGCTGACAATTTTGAATCTTGGTGAGGGAGCTGCATCTACTTTGATTTATGATTGCAAATTTACATCATAATAAAAAAAGAAGGACTTTTCACGTGCCTAGCTCTAGCTATTACTCTAAATTCAAGACATGGTCTGAGAAACAGATGAATGTAACATTAATATGAACTCAATATATGAACTCATGCTGACAAGCATATTAAAAGGGATACTAAGGGCACCTGGCTGGCTCAGTTGGTAGAGCATGCAATTCCTGATCTCAGGATTTTAAGTTCAAGCCCCAGGTTGGGTGTAGAGATTGCTTAAAAATAAAATCTTAAAAATAAATAAATAAAAAGGGATACTAAATCAAGCAAACCTCAAAGGAAAACAAGAGCACAAGAATAAATGTATTTAACCAGTGAATGAAGATTCACATATTCACAGTTGGAAGGGGCCTTAGAAACCAGCCAGTCCAAATCCTTTAATTCAGAATGAAGGCCAGTGAAGTCTTGGGTAGCTGACTATGGGCTTATGCTTCGGCATTTCATTTCCTTGCAGATATAGTGAAGGTTCCCTTGTAAATGGACTGTTAGAAAAGCTTTAAGGGATATGGCTTTCTAGTGTACCTAGAACAGGTGGCCAACAACTTTGGCTGGCATGCTACTTCATCTAGTTAGGAAGCTGGCATGCTACTTCATCTAGTTAGGAGGAAGCCTCTAGCTGCTTCTTGGCTGCTGTCAATCACCACAACCAGCACTGTCAATAATAATAACAATGTCAAATAATTATATAGCAGGCACTATTCTAAGTGCTTTTCATATACTAACTCATTTAATCCTTCCAAAAACACCGTAACACAGATTACCTCCATTTTTAGAGATGATGAAACTAAGGCTATTTAACAGAGAGGTTAGATAACTTACTTAAGGTCATAATGCTAGAAATGGCCAGTAACCCAGGAAATCTTCCTCCAGAGGCCATGCTGTCCAATACTGTCATCTGTTACCAAGCACTCAGTCACGTCTGCCATTCTCTTGAGGTTGCCCACAGCTCCGTAGTGCCTTTAGTCTGTCCTGTCCTTGTTGAGACAGGCACAGACATAATCAGAAAGCATGGCCTATGTGGCTCTGGGTTGACACAGGCAATGTCCCAGTTCTGCTGTTGGTGTGGTTTAGCACCCCCTAGAAGCCAAATGTCTGTACTTCCGTGAGAAATAAAAGTCAAGAGACTATGTGAGAAAGGAAAGTAATGATGACGTCTTGTATTTCCATCAGACATGATCATCCTTTCGCAAATTTTACAATGATAAAAATGATTACAAATTCTATGATGGCCTACATACCAAAAGGCTACTCTTTAAAGCAGAGGAGAGTTT